GCTAGTATCAGGTATAAAATAATTAAGGAGAATACACGAGGCAGTGGGTAGATGACAAACGATGGCAGTTTCTTAGGAGGGTAGATTAATATTTCCACTCAAGAACTACCTACCCACGAATATAAACACTCTTGGAGACATTTCGAGAATGCTTCTGGCTTGGCTATAAGTCTATACCTATAAAGGTTTATATACTTGAAACATTATACTTAGTACGTAATAGTTATGGAATAAAGAAGTTAATTGTGTTAATTTTTTTAGTAACAAGTTTTTCAAAATTCATAAAACAATTTGGATCGCACAAACATTACTATAAGACAATGTTCTTAACACTATATATCTATACTAATATATAAAACTGAAGAGTTTGTTTGTTTGAACGCGCTAATCTCAGGAACTACGGATTCGAATTGAATAAATTATTTTTGTTTAGTTACAAGTTTTTGTCGAGGAGGGCGACTATTAAAATACGCTGTAACTCATAGAAGCGAAGATACCGGTAATGTCATGGATTTTTCATCTCTGGGGCAGATTCGCTGCAACAACAAGAGGCAAGGTAACTAAAAAATGTGTATCAAAGAATTAATTCCTCTTTAAATGATCCAAAAAAAGCCCGGACTAATTTTATCTATTAAGATTAGCTTGCAAGAACGACGGGTAGGGACGCGATCGACGTCGTAGCTAACAACTTAAGTTTATAGATTTTTTTCTTTTTTTTTTGACTTGACTATTTCGTATTGTGTTCCTATGGAGCCACGAATACTAACCGGGCGTTTTGGGCGCCGTGTTTGGGGCTAAACCAAGGGGGTGCCCCGAGGGGGCATCGGCCTCGGCTTGGACCGCCGCAATGCGGGTGGGAGCTTGAAGAGCTGGACGGAAGCTCACCCGGGGAGTTATAGAGATGACGGGGTTTGCAAAACGATTCGAAAATAACAATTCTTGCGGACGTAGTTGCTGGCATAGCTAGTATTTAAATAAAACACTTTCAACTTTAATTTTTCAATTCGAACTCATAGTTCCTGAGATCAGCGCGTTCAAACAAACAAACAAACTCTTCAGCTTTATATATTAGTATAGATGTACTCGCGTAAACCACAGACAATAGTGGGATATATATAATTTGAGTAAATGATAAATTTTAATAGACTCAAATAAATGCTTTGGTCGCGGCTCATTTGTTAATATTATAATAACGAAAGATAAGCCCGAATGCTTCTGAGGTCAAGCGGATGATTCCGAGGTCGCTGTTACACTGTACATGTAAACTATAAATAGCTGAAAATACAGTTAATATTACCTCGTACGTAAGGTTGATTTGGGGCATGGGGCAAACGATGCTGATTACCTACTTCTCAGTAATCGATTGTATTCATAGTTAATTGTTTCAACTTTTTTGCGCTATGTAAAATGATTAAAAATTTCCCCCAGATTCAAACCTGTGGCCTCTCATTTGGATTGAATTCGTAGTTTCATTCGTACGAATTTATCTACCTTAATAAATAATGATATCGTTTAAGTAGTAGGTATACATTTAGATAAAAACAGTTTAAAACGCGACATATAAAATCAGTAAACTATAGAAAACTGTAAGAACTCTGCCAGTTTCTCCAAATATTAACTTCGCCAAAACGGGTGGCGCTAGCGTAGATTTGACCTTGATATTAGGGACCACATTCTTCGTCAATTCCTCCGTGACCACGGCGGCTGCAATGCATACGACACTTCGGGCTGTACTTAAATTAAGTAAAAACGTAACAATTAAGGTAAAAGTAACGTATATTTATAATTATATATATATCAATTTATTTATTTATCGCACTAGCAGGCAAATCTGATACGTGCACGTTATATTTTCTTTTGTGAAAGAGCCTTGCCGATTTGATTCCGGCTGAGTATTACTTTATTTGGAAAAAAATTCACGTTTTAAACCGTTAAAACTACTTATTTCACCACGAAATATATTGTTGTAACTAATTTTTAATGGCGACACGTTTCTTATGCGTAACGGCAGCCGAAGTCACGGGGAGACAATAATCGAAATTTCATTTACAAAAACACCGGCTATCCATTTTACCCACTCCCCCATTCCACCTCTGTGGGGGAAATTAGGTACCTCATAGACGTTTCATTAATCACCGACCGTCCATGCCAGGAACTCATACATAACCTAGCATAGAGTATAGAGAATTAGCGTAATTATTCTCGCATTGTATTCAAATCTTCCTACCACGAGCGTGGGAAGGAGTAACCATTCAGCGTACAATCATTATCGCCAACCTTGTCGAGCGCATGTCAAACGCGAAGCCTCCATTTGTGGATAATGGCCGTGTCAAATAAAACCACTTTTAACGGCGAGAAACACGAAATATATAAGTCTATATTTCGATGCTTTAAAGCAGCTTTGGTAACAGGGGAGACCTCCTAAAACGTCGGGCCGAAGTTAAAAATCATTTCCAAACAAGTCCTAACTAATATATGCGTTTTAAACCGTTAAAGTGTTTTATTTAAATGTGTACTACTCCGTAAACTATAACAGTATGTTCTATTCTATACTAATATATGAAGCTGAAGACTTTGTTTGTTTGTTTAAACGCGCTAATCTGAGGAACTACTGATTTAAATTGAAAAGTTATTTTTGTGTTAGTTAGAGCATTGATCATGGAAGGCGCTGTATTAAACACCCTGTGTCATGTGGGTTTCCGCTGCGAAAAAGGTTCAAGATAACTAAACAATTTGTAAGAAAGGGTGGGGGGCCGGGGGGGGGGGGGGAGCCGGGGGGGGGGAATTATTTCTCTTTAAATAGTCTAAAAAAATGTCTGCGACAGTCTATGTCTGTTTTTTAAGATTAACTTGCAAAAACGACGGAACGCGACCGACGTCGTGAGCATTTATAATGATGAAGAGATGCACGGAAGAGACTGAAGTCGCTGACACAGCTAGTCTATCTATATATTATGTAAAACATATTGGACTTGGTCTGGAAATTTGGATATCAAATGGGTAGTTCTAACATCGAAATTCCGTTCACGTCACTAACTACCCTCCAGATATTGTAAAAGCCGTCAAGTTGCGTTTCAGTTAACTGTGGATATCCGAATATCCAAAGCCAAAAAAAGGTCGACAGCGCATCTTGTTTAGATGTTATATGGTTGGGGTATTTCACCTACCATCAAGTGATCTAGACACTAACAACGCTTACCATCAGCATAGGCAACAGCCTAAAATTCGGGGCTTCATATAGAGGAACGCGAATTAAAAGTTGTAATCTTTTTCTTGTTAAGGCTCGGTGTTCTAGTTCGCTGATCGTTCCAGGGTTTTCCAGCACATTTATTAATTAAATGGCAACACCGTATAATTATTAAAGCCCTTACCCGATAAGAGTGTCACTGTTACAGATAAGAAAGATTATATGTACTTAAAACACTCAGAACATTTGCGACGCTATAAAACTCAATAAAATTAATACTTTGATCGCGCGTTTTAACTGTTTTGTGTAGCCATATATTTTTGTAATCGTTTAGTATTAGAATATAATCCGTTTATTTTGATAACAAAGTAAAATGGTGGATGATAAAATTTTAAAGAATGTTTTTATACTTACTGACCAAGGAAACGTTGTAGTGTCACATAAATTACTTTAAGTATAACTAACTTATCATTATAAATATTAATAATATTTATATATAAACAGAGGCATGGATCGCTGTGATTTAAGTCTAACGAATGTATATACAAAATTTCATCAAAAAATCTTTGATCGTGTCAAAGGAATTAGCGCACAAACATTGTAACGGCATAATTTTATATATTACATTTGCTAGTATAACTTTCAGTGACGGTTTATAAAATATTAGAAAGAAGGCTATTTTACTTTCATTGGTAGCCAATTTTAATCAAACCAAAACCATATATGTGACAACCAAAACTCAATATTAAAACATCAAAATGGCACGTATAGTACTTTCGGAGGTTAGCGTGTACATACAGACAGAGTTAATAAGAAATCTACTTTTTTATTCTGCCCCTATTTCTATGTTATGTATGCTGGCTTATTAATTTATATTCATGTAGAGGCAAATAGTATGTATGTACGTCTATTGGTTTATTTTAGTATATATTATTATTAGGACAATAGCTCATTACTTTAAATGACTTGGCGGACAATACTATTGTTTTCCACGGATGAGCCCTCTCGATGGTGGCGCCAACTAGTGGCGCAAATTGGATATCAGTGTCACGCCATTTGCAATTCAAAATTATTCAGGTGGAAAGTTTATTTAGTCAAATGGCCTTTTTGAAATCCTGCATCAAACAATACAGTTAGTGGCTATTATTGTAAGACATTTATAATTTTAACGATTATCCTGTTTAGTCACGTTAAGGATGTCTTGGCTATATAAGCAGCCAATTACCGCCGTATACCGCGATGACAGGTAAATATTTCACACTGTGACTATAAACTTCATTGTACCAGCCGACACGAACGATAAGCGCTTATCTCGTCTTCACCGACACAATAAAAACATGGAACGAATCCACTAATGACTCACCGGTGGCCTAGACTCGGAAATCGGTAAACAGTAATTTAAAATGCACAAATTTCAACATCATCCTTTATTCACTCAACAATAATTGCATTTAATTAACATTACTCTAACTAAACAATTACATAATCGAATAATAAAAATTTATATCTGTTACGCACATAAATAAAAATGTTCCATTAAATTCCTTAAAATGAAGTACCTATGTACATCTCTTTAATGGCAATTATATAGGCACGATATGTTACATTCATTCGGTAATTATGATACAAAATTGTACAAGAGGTTACGATCACAAATCGAACATGACACGGTAGAACACTGATGTCACGGAGCCGATCGCGGCGAGCTGGCAACACCGCTCTGCACCTGCGCGCGCGCAACGGCGCTTCCATCGCGTATTGGGTTAATCGACACGCGAGCTCGTATCACGCAACGCACTAGCACAGAGGCACCTTACAACTTCTTAACGATATCGAATTTGGATTTGAGATCCATTGGCACTTTTTTTGGGTCCACTTTTTTCTTCGCCGCGAGGAACGCGCGCATCTCCGCCGCCGTCATCTGGAGATTGAGACGCGGCGGCTCCGGCGAAGCACCGTCGGTTCTGTCGGAGCCGGTCGAGCCAGTAGTAGAAGTCGACTCGTTGGAAGCGGGTACGTTGGCTTGTTTCTGTTCGGGCGCGTCCAAGTCGGGAACAGGTTCCCCGGGCGCCGGGGCCACGACCAATAACTCGGCGTCGTCTGCCCGCTCTTTGATGCGCGCCACCACTTGTTTGTGTGTTTCGCCGGCGATACTGTGCCCGTTCACCTCTAGGATGCGGTCGCCTCGTCGCAGGCCCGCCTTCTCCGCGGGCGAGCCCTCGTCGACCTTGCCGATGTACTGGCCGGGCTTCCCCTTTTCCGCGTGCAAGTTGAAACCGTAGCCATCGAAGTCGGGGACTTTCCGCACGTGGCAGAGCCGCGAGTCGGCGGTCGCCGAGCCGTTCGCGGACATCGCTGGAGGTTGGGGCACGCGCGATCGCCTTCGGTCGCGATGATCCACTGCCACCCGCACCACGTATCACCTGTGGCGGCGGAGGCTCGGTCGGGGGGAGGGGAGGGAGAATGTGCGCTCGAGGCTTCCAGTGCCTACCGGGTCGCCGTTGAGGCGCGTACCGTGGCGTGTATTGTGTCTGTGTGTTGTTCATACCTGAAAAGGAGCAAACGGTGAGTTCCTCGCTTAGACTTGTATTAAAAATGGCGCAGCGCATGTCAACGTTCAATCGTATGTGCTTGCGCAGGTTAGGACCGAGAGTGGTACGCCGCTTTCCCGCGACGCCACTCCCAGTTCCACACATACGGTTCACTTATAAGTCAACAGAATGTTAATAAAATGAAAGTCTTTTAGCTATTAATGAAGCTCAAGCAAGACTTCAACAAAACACTGGCGATGGACGTGACGAAAGTGTATCACTTAGATAATAAAATGGCGATAGTCGGGGCAGAGTGACCGATAGATGGCGACACGGCATGACCGGTCGTTGCTCTTAGGGTGTACGCAACTCAGCTGTATTTTAATTAATGTTTACAAGCACTTTTTAATGACACGAATGAATTGGTGTTGCCTTCGATTACGATGTGTTTTCCGCCTATGTTTGAAAGTAATATATTCTGTATTTATACACGATAATTACAAGATACATTTTCTATGATGTATCTATTACCTTTGCAGAAATAAAACCACGTAAATTAAATTGTATTCTGCACAAATATCCCTGAAATATTTTACAATTTCTTTAATAAGTTTGTCTACTTCAGTTTGTTAGTAAAGTGAAATCCCGTTTCCCCTCGTGGGGCATGGGGCGAACACATTTCTGTGTCCGTTTCACTAGTTCTTTAACGGACAAGTAGTTGAAGACTTCGGTGCCCTGCCCGACCGAAACAATCTACTCTTTCCCCGGGATCCGAAGCCAGGACCTCTCGCGCTTAACGCAATGTTAGGCACCGCATTTAACCATTTAGCTACAGAGGCGGTCAGGAGAGGTTTTGTTAGTACTAACTGTAATAATTGTATTAAGTTGTGCTTATAAAATATTTAAAATCTTTCAAATGATGGTGCTAAGCGCACACAGCACAATATTAATCCGACAAACTAACGGACGGTAATTCTTATATGGCCACATAAACTTCATATCGCAGTCACTCGTGTTCTGAATAATAATAACACAAAAGTATGCATTTAACGGAAGTAAATTCCTTATTGTCTGCTGAAATTGCTGCTTCATCATTAGTTGATTAGGTCGTCTGTTGTCAAGTGCACAAGACGACTAACATCTCAGTCAACCCATCTAGCCCTTAGTTTTTTAAACATATCTGAAGATATACATATATAGATAATGGTAGTAAAGGCATTTTACAATCTATTGGTAGAAGTATACTTATGTAAATTAGTAACGTAACGTGTGTATGTATAATTACACACATATTTTTTTCTCTTACAAGTTGCAAATTAACAAAATATTACATCTTTTTTTTTAAAATATAAGTACATAAACAAGTAATGTAATTGAACATTTCTATTCGGAATGTGTAATACGATAGAAACGCCTTATCGTTATCATTGATATCTGTTCGAGTCCAAACACGTTTACCATTTTGAAATATTTATACACAATAACGCGTCTTTTTTCTTTTTTTTATACTACAGACTACTTGGTTGGGTTGTTGTAATATTGTACAATAACTATTTTTTGAAAATAAACATTCTTATCAGAACTATTATTACACTAATAAAACAATAAGAATGTTAAAAAACAACTTATACTGAATTGAGAACTACCCGTTCTCAATAAATTGAAAATTAGGCTAAAATCTTTTAACAATTAAATAAAACACGGTTGACGGTTTATAACGCAAAATATGAGTTACATTTAAATTTAACTACGGCCCGAATCATGAATAGTTCGTAAATGCAAACTAACTTGACCGCTTCTGTAGCCTGGTAAGCCAACTACTTGCCCGTTAAAGAACGGATCAGAGAAACGGACACATAAATGTGTTCGCCCCATGCCCCACGAGGGGGAAATGGGATTTCACACACAAATGCAAACTAAAGATATTAAACACAGAAATACCATAAGTTTAATCAACGCAACGCAACACTTGCATGCATATTCCATACATAATTGCACGAAATGTCATCCAACATGGTCAATTGACCCATGGTCGTGGTACAACACAAGAATTCAAAGAATGTGGCGAGTTCTCGCAAGCAGGCTTTAAACGTCCTTCAACTGTCTGCGCAGATTATATTCGACTTGTAAATTCCACTTAAAGACTGTCTGTTTAAGTCGGCTCTTGGACTATTTCTATTTGTCAAAAATATCTTTAAACTAGTTAATAGACATTGAATGTAATTATTGAAGGAATGTTAATCTATACATATATATAAAGCTGACGAGTTTGTTCGTTTGTTTGAAACTGCAAGTTCAAATTTATTGAGGAAGGATAGACTATAACACATCGCGCTGTGACTAATAGGAGCGAAGAAATAGCGGCAAATGCCGAAAAAAAAAATATTTTGTAAATATGCGTGCGCTGCGAAAACGGGTCAAGATACCCAAATATATGTATTTCTTTTATACATTATTCCTATTAAAATGATCTAAAAAATTTCAGTGACACTATATTATATAATATATATCTAATAAAATTTACTTGCAAGAACGTTGGGACGACGTCGTGGGTAATCAATATTTGTAAAATTAAATTTAGTTCCAAGGTAATTTTTCACTTACTTAAATATTCTTTAGCCTTATTTTCTGATTACCAAATGAACCGATTACATAACATTTTCTAGGAAACACAAATTAATTACACGATTACAAATGCAATTTAAACATCATTCATTTAATGTGTGTTATAAATGTGTATGTGAAATTTCAATTCGTGTGGTGTGTGGGCAAACACATTTTAGCGTTCGTTACACTGATCGAGTTTTTGTTTAAACTTCTAAGCCCTTAAAGACCGAAATAATGTATGTTTTTCCTGGATTCAAACCTAGGATCTTTTGTGCTTAAAGCTAGTCATAAGCCATCTTAGTTAGATAGTAGTCTTAGATGCTAAAATAAACAAGTAACGCTATCGTTTTGAAAGCTATTTCAGCAAGTTTTAAATTTGAATATTTTAGATAAATAAATATCTATAATGTTAACATATATTTGAAGTGATTAAGCGATAAAAATAATCGCACGCTCTTGGGCTACAATTTGTTAGCTATTTGAAATAAACCTTATGCCTACGCAATAAGATTGAATATTCAATTTACAAATTTGCATAGTATTGAGACACGTCACTTATAAAATATTTTGGCGATGAGACGGCTATAGAAACGGATGTCGTAGTACTAACATATATTATATATATATACATATGGAAAAGCTCCTCATTTAATCTACTTTAGTTAAAGATCTATCATTTGATAATTACAGTATGTTGCATTACTTTTATTTAATAATAGAGAAGGACAGATAAACATGGTCTTCTTAATATTCGAACATTTTTCAGAAAAATTACAAATGTGTTGGATCCGATGGACCTCTTGATAATATTACAAAGCTGTATGTTGCATCAAACTAACTGATGGTTAGGTTTTCTCTACATATTTTTTTTTATGATAGAGGGAGGACAGGCAAGCAATTTTCACTTGAAGGTAGGCAAAATACCCCAGCCTGTAGCATCTATTCAGTGCCGTCGACCTATTTTAGCTTTGGATATCTGGAAATCCACAGATTATAGTGAAACGCGGTTAAACTTCACGGTTTTTTCATCAGCGGACAGTGGTTCGTGACCCGGACGAAATTGCGATGTTCTTATCACCTACTTAATATCCAGATTTCCAGACGAAGTTCAACTTGTTTCAGAAAAATTATAAATTTCTTAGAAACACCTTAGACCCGGTGGATACGGATATTATTTATTTATTTATTATTATTTATTTTATTTTACAGAAATTTATACATTGAAAATAGAATTGATCAAATAATAACGTAATTCTATTACAAAGAATAAATTAAGCAAATGGTATTGATTGGCTTACATACAGGATACTATAAATAAAAGTTGTAGACATTTTCGCCATATTCTTATTATATAATGCTAAAAAAAAGAGGAAATACAATAACTAAGTAATATAAAATAAAATATCAAAAAAGTTTTTAGGTAAGCTTTGATCTTTCTTTTAAAAGTAAGGGATGTGTCAAACATTATGTCGTGTCAATTATAAATTATTATACGTTTTCACAGTCTGTTTAACACGGAATCGACTCCAAGTCGTGTCCTCAAAGGGAAGGCGAAAGGATGCACACATCTTGCGTGGGGGTCTGTGAGGCACGTTATGTTTATTTTTGCTAACAGGGATGAGCAATCGAATTATTTACCACTTTATGCAGGAAATCATATCCAGCAGAAGGCGTCTTGATTTTAGTGACAGGATGCTAAAATGATTTAGTTTTATAGAATACGGGATATACTTCGCGCAAGGTAAATGTTCCCGGAGGGCTAGCGTTCTAAGTATCTTTTTTTGTACGTTTTCAATCCTATTTTTATGGACTGCTACTAGATTCCATACTTGACTACAGTATTCTAATTTGGATCTTACTAGTGCATTATACAGAAGCAACGTCGTGGATGATTTTTTAAAACTCTTTGTGTTTCGCAAGACAAAAGCCGAACATTTCGAGGCCGAAGCTACAATTTTGTCGATGTGGTCGATATACCCAAGCCTTGCATCCAGAAGTATACCTAGGTCGTGTATTTTTGATAACTTTTCCAGTCGGTGGCCCTCAATAGTATATTGATGGTCAAAATTGCTTAGTTTATTATTGCAAAAAACCCGTCAAAACTGTATGTCGCATCAAACTAACCAATGTTTGAAATTTGGGTTAAGCATTTCTTTGCATATTTTGGAAATTTCCTTAGTAATTTCTAAGACTAGCTTTGAAGCATTAGAAACCG